GAAGTGCCAACTGATACTAAGTGCCTGAGTTGAGATTGCGTGCAAGTGCATGCAACTCCCTGTTTTGTGGGTGGTTAGTGCTTTGAAAATCATGTCCTTGTTCACACCCTGTGGGCATCTGAGAAAGCAAAGAATCAAGAATTAGTGAGCATTTTTTGAAAATGTAGACTTCAGCCTCTTTGTGCCTCCGTTTCTTCCATCTGTTAAATGGGAATACAGAATTTGAAGAGTGGAAGTGGCCAGCATGTTCCTGTGGACTCAGGGGAGGAGGGAAGGGAGAAGAGGATCTCTGCGCATTGACCCCACCCCACGCATGGGTTCCCAGCTTCCATTGGCAAGGAACGGCAAATAATAAGACATTCCAGATGTGTTATGTTGTTTGGAGTTAGAGCTGAGAGAGAAATCACTTGAAACACAGAGAGCTTGAAGTAGTTGCTAGCTTCTGGTTATTCCATAACACAAAACTAACTAGAACCAGCCCAAACTGACTGGGCTGACTCCTCGTGACTTAACTTTGTTATTGTAACAACAAGATCTATATCTACAACAACCCAAAATACAACCTCCCCTCTTGATAAGAACAGCCCTTTAATAAAACAAGCACTAAACTAGGGAATGAGGGTAGACTGCATCAGTTCCAGACTAACCCCAGGGATTATTTTGCCCCATAACCATGGGTTAACCTTAACTAAAGGTGTAGCTGCTGAAGATTATGGTGGATGTCTGCTATTCTTGCATCTGTAGGAGTTATGGGTGTGATCCTGATAATGGGACATGAAGTGCGAGCAGGTGAGGATATCGGATCATCCTGCTCAAAGAGGGGGTTTGTGTTTGCTGTAGATGGTGATGGAGAAGGAGAGTCAGGAATAGATGATTCTTGATTCAGTAGCTCACTGATAGTGGTGAGGTCAGGCAACTCAACTGGAGGCATAACCTGGCAACAACTGATCTACATGCCGTCGTCACCAGATGAGATCCTCTGTAGTCTGGACAGTATAGGAAACAGGTCCTATGTGAGCAATAACAGTGGCAGGGACCCATTCAGCTCCAGAAGCATAGTTCTGAGCCAAAACCTGCTCTCCAGGACTAACGATTCAGTCTTTTGCTCTGGATGCACTCCTGATGACTTGACCCTGCTGTTGACATTGCATAATTTCTCATGGTTCAGAAGGTTTCAGCAGATCAAAGCAAGTGTGCAGCTGATGTCTCATCATGAAAAAAGTTGGGGAATGCTTTGGTTCTAGCATAAGATGTATTGCTGTAGGATAATAAAGTGTCCAGAAGCTTTTGTGTGAGTGAATGTCCTCTAGCCAATTTGAAAGTTTGTTTCATTGTCTGCACAAACCTTTCAACCAATTCATTGGTTGGATGGGTAATATGGTGCTGGAGTGATATTGTGAATCCCATTTACTTTCATAAAATTTCCAAACTCCTGAGAGACAAACTGCAGACCGTTGTTGCTCACAAGTTGTTCTGGAAGACCAAAACAATTAAAGATTCCACAGAGTTTTCAGCAGTAGTAGACAGCATTATAGAGACTTCTGTCCATTTGGAATGGGCATCTACCACCACCAAGAACATACTACCTTCAAATGGGCCAGCAAAATCAATGTGAATATGTTGTCACAATTTTTCAGGCCAGTCCCATGGGTGTATAGGTGCCAACTGAGATGCATTCCTCAATTCTGGAATGAAATGCAAGCACTTGCCTTCTCTTCAACACTGCTTCCAAGCCATGTCACCAAAAAATAGCTTCATGCAATTCCTTTCACATGCACCATTCCACAGTGACCTGAATGCAGCTGTTCTAACATCTGCTGTCTCAGTATCTTTGGAATAATGACACACATTCCCCACAAGAAGCACCCAGAACGAATGGCTTACTCCATCCTCCTGGACATGTAGAGAACAAGGTCGGGTGAGACCCAAGAGTCCCATAGAGATGTTCTGTACATCAGTAGGTCCATAACTTGGGGCAGAACTACATCAACATGAGTTGCTCTCTTAACTTGCACAGCAGTGATGGACCTTTAAGTGTTCTCTATCTGTTCAAAGTAGATTTTCTTCTGGCCGCTATCTTGATGTTTGACTGGCAAAGGCAGCCTTGAGATACTATCTGCATTGCCATGCAAAGTGGATTTCCAATATCTGATCTCACATGTATGTCCAGAAAGCCACAATGCTCATTGTTGCATTCGACTAGCACTCAATGGTGGAATGTCTGTGTGGACAAAATATTGCCGCCAAGGGTTGATGGTCAGCGAGAAGTGTAATCTTCCCTCCAAAAGGGTACTAATGTAATTTCTGAAGCCTGAAAATGATTCCCAGTGCTTCATGCTTGATTTGTCCAAACAGATACTAATGACAAGACCACTCCCACTCCATATGGGAAGACATCACAGGCCAACTATAAAGGTAAGGATAGATCAAAATGTGTCAGGGCCTCCTTTAGGAATGCATATTTATCTTTGTTAAATGCAACATCACAGGCTTCGATCCACTTCCAGGCCTTGTTCTTGACCCGATGGCATATGGCACAGTTCTGGCCTTCAGATATTTTGGTTGGTTGCCAGGTTTAATCTTCACTTTCACAGTGATTCCCCTCATACTTCCCAGATCCTCTCCACAAATAGCAGCATGTTTCTTCAATACTTCAATCAGAGCTGTTTCTTCTTTATTCAATTGGTGCACTTCTGTCCAGTTCATCTGGATCTTCCGAAGCCATGATCTACCCATTAAGGCGGGGTAATGGCCTTTCACCACAAACAGTGGCAATTCAGCAGTCTGTCCATTGAGCTCCACCTTAACATCAGTAGTGCCCAACAGGGATACTGCTTCTCTTGTATGACTTCAAAACGATCTTTGTTGTCTCAAGTGTAAGATTCTTTAGCTTTTCCTTATACACAGTGTCTGAGATCAAATAAACTGCTGCAACCATGTCCAGTTTCTTGCATACAGGTTTGTTGTCCAACAATGGGGTTACCAAGTATTCATGTGAGCCTGCTGCCAAAGACAAAATGTCATTTAATATCTCCTTAAATTCAGTGTTCCACAAGCTTTTTCATATGTGCTACAAATTGTACAACTGTTTAACTTTCTGCAGTGACCAATGATTTTGGAGCATAATGTGACCCCAGGATTTCCACTATGTCACTAAGATTTGATTTCTGGCTTAACAGGGTGCAGCAAACTGCATAGTAGAGGATATTGGCACCTTCTCTTCCTTTAATGTCCTTTTCAATAACAAAGCTCAAAACACTCAGTATATACGTGCCATTGCTCTATAGTCTCCTCAAAAGGTCCCAACAGTCTTGTAAGTGTAACTATGCTGCTATATCTCCTTTCTTTTTTCTTTTCCCTCTCCCAGCCTCTGGGCTTCACTGATTTTAGTTTGAGTTCTCACCCACACCTTCCAGAATAGCAAAAAGGTTTGTTTTCTTACACTGACCTTTATTTCTGTTTGTGGAGGCAGCATAGCTATCCCATACTTGTCGTTACTTTGTTATATTGTTTGGAGTTACAAAGTTTAGAAAGAAATCACTTGAAACACAGAGAGCTTGAAGCAGTTGCAAGCTTCCATTTATTCCATAACACACAACTAACTAGAACCAGCCTAAACTGGCTGGGCTAACCCCTAATTACCTAATTCAGTTACTATAACAAAAGCTATATCTACTATAACAACCCGATACACAACAAGATGCTTCTGGGAATAGTGTGGGGCCAGTGCAGGCAGGGAGTCTGACTTAGTCCTGCTGTGCTACCAACTGGGAGCTGCCAGAAGTAAGTGCTACCCGGCCAGAACCCATACCCCTAACTCTCTCTTGCACACAAACTCCCTACAACAGGCCAATGGGTGGAAGAGAATGGGGTTGGAGTGAGGTGGGGCAAGGCCTCAGAGTAGGCAAGGAAAGGGCATTTAGGTTTGTGTAATGAGACAGTCAAACCCTAACTCTACCCCACCACTTTCAGGAGTTATGGATCACTTCTAGTACAAAGTAGTATTACCCTATCTGACAGGGTAATGAGTGTATATGGTAAATCAGAATATCCTGTATCAAAGACTGGCTCCCTTCTATGTTGGGCTATTGCTTGTTCTATGGAATATTTGGTAAATACGCTCCTTTCAAAAGAGAGTAACTTCATTTACTCAATTGAGCTTTAATCTGTGGAGAGTTCATTAGCTCTGTCCCCCTGGATTTGTTAGAGATATTAGAATAGGATTACACAAAAATAGTTGGTGTACCAGATAATAATCACACCTTTCATGTAGATTAATTTCATATAAAATTAATGTCAGAATGAATGGCTGGAGCAATAAAAATGGTATCAAGCATTTATCCTGGTACTAATAGCTTTGACTCTCCTCGATAGATGGTTTATAAGAGCAGAACAGGAGCTGATGAATTTGTGCTTTCTACTTGTACAGGAAACGTAATCACTTTGTAAACTTTCTTTAGTGTGTGAATACAAATGGGGCCACTGTGATAAAGCTCTAATATAATCCATCTTGTCAAATTGGGGAGCCTATTCCAGTGAGATCAGAGCCATGAAACTTGGCTCTAAATCACACAAGATATTTGAAATGAAGTCCACAAGTGAGTCTATCAAAAAAACACTCAAATATTTGATAAATCCTCATCTAGTCCAGGCACCTGCAAAGGCAGTATTTTCTATGGCATAGTCCACTCTATATAAATTTCCAATGTCAAGCAGTGGGTCAATCCTTGCATAAATTCATTACCAGTTCTCAGAGGAAGTGGTTTGTAAAACACTATGGAATATCTGGGATTGTGAAAGGCACTGTTGGTTTAATGAACATTGCTTGTCGAGAAAAGTCCTTAGAGAATAAAAGGATAAGTTCTTTGACTTTGAATTTGGATTTGTAATCTTAAAGATACAGTGTGGCCATACCAGGAGACTTGCCATAAAACGGAACCTGCTACTTTGTTCTTTTTAGTTTCTTTTTCTTAAAACTCATGTTCCCTCTTTCTTTCTAGGTTCATTCCTGTTCCTCAATACATCAGAGAGCATGAGCCCCATCATCTTGAGCCCTTGGCTGAGGAGCAGTAGTGAGCAATGCACTATTCAGGTGTCTGTGTATAGGCACTTCCAACAAAGCGGGGACTATATTGCTCGGCTCCTCCCTGCTGATGAAAGTAGCAGTGAAATCCTGATGGCTCCAAGTCAAGAGAAAAATGGGTAAGTTTATTTTCTAATCAAGAATAGAGTGTTTGTTGGTTTTGATACTACTTTATCAAACAAATGTTCTGTTCCCCAGTATAAGATCTGTACATGTGATACAGACCAGGCTCCAATGTGAAATTAAAAACTATCAATGTACTTTGATTCGCTCCTGTTTCAAAGAGGACTAAATCACTTTCAAGATGCACAGAACCAGGTGATCCATGACCGGCTATTGCAGGGTAGATTCATGCCCCAGTTTGTGACAAACTAAATTTCCTGTAGGCAAGCCCTGTTTCCTTTACTAGAATGGTTCCACTGTTTTGTGTCAATAAATGCATGCTTATGGTAACTTTGAATGGTTACATTTTTTTTTTTGTGACCAAGCTTGAAACGTATCCATATGTTGTCGTGAATTATGTATGATTTTGCCATTTTGTCATGACCATGCTCATTAGCCTCCTTAAATGGCTTACCCATCACTAGAGGGGGACAGAACACCACACTCAGTGGTTGTGGCTCACACAAAGGCCTATGGCTGGTTCCTGTATCAGGTGTCCTTTCCCCTTTTACTCTAGATCTAGATAATAGTAGGCCTACAAAGAGACACAAGGAGATTCATGCCAAGGTTCAAAGCCACCTACACAATCATTCTCCTATACATACTCCCTCATTCCCTATTCTCTCCACTATTGGACATAGACTGTACAGAGGGCCTTCCATAGACTGTTCCACCTTTTGATCCCTTGATTATATGCATATTATTAATACATATTTTGTGTCTCTTTTTTTCTTTTTGTAAAAGTTGTCTCTTGTGTCACCAGGGATTTAAGTGTCATTTGCCAAGCAGAGCTTTTGATTTTTTTGGGCTACAACTGGCTGAAATATTTCCTCCTGGAGTAATTAAGATTAATTGTCAGTGACATCTCAATTTATAAGACTCTCTGTGCATTTTCTTAGGTTGTGCTTAGCAGCAAAACAGCAGGACCATAACTGAACAAATGCATTTTGAATAGTTAAATGTTCTGGTGGTTGTTTAATTTAGAAGTTAATCTGAATATAGGCGAAGCTAACAGTCCTTTTGTTCTAGTTATTGATTTTACATCTGTGCCCCCAGAATATACATTAAGAAGCATAATTTGTACCAAGCATCTTAAATTATCTTTCTCTAATGTAATAGGTTAGAGAAAGTGATTATAATATCAAGTCATGCTGGTTTATGCCAGTAACAAGACATGGTGGTTGCCTGATTTACTGTGTAAAACAAACTCGGTGTTTTCTAGTAACAAAAGGAGAATGTGCAATAAAAAATCTGACAGGAGACAACCTGATTCACAGCAGTGGGCTGAAGGGTTGTATTTCTACTATTATACATGGTCTATAAAACTGAGGAAAAGAGCTCGTGTGTGATCTAGATCATGCTTCATTCCAGCAATATTATCTAACTTGTAAATTACTCTATGTTGAGAGAAACAATTAGGGGAGCTGCAGCAGCTGTCTTCTTTGCCTGCTGTTTGAAATTGCTTTTCATCTGTGTTGTAGCTAGTAAACCTGCTTTGAGCAGTAGTACAGCCTTGTTGGCAATGCTACTTCTTGTTCACTTGTGTAGAATCTGCTATTATATTAAGGTGCTCTGCTGTACTGCATATAGTCTCTTCAGTTTTCAATTTTCACCATTAAAATAAGAAAATATTGAGTAATTAAATATGGGGTTAGGGGAAAACACGTTTTAATCTTTTGAAACAAACTGTGTGCATCATTGCCATCCAGTTGAGACCATCAGAACTGCTCAGCTAGATGCCTTAGACTCTATACCACTAAGAGCTAATGGAAATTCATCTTGCTGAAGTGATGGGCACCTTTTTCTTTTAGAGCAGGAGGTTCTGAGTAATATCTTGACTGTTGCTGTAAAGTACTGATTTGCAAAGTTATGTATCCTAGATGACTACCAATTTGTTAAAATATATCAGCATGCATACCTGTGTGTGAAGGAATAGTGCTGACCCTACAGCCGTTCTCCACTCAAACCTCTGATCATAAGCTGAAGTCCAGCATAGACCTATAGATGGTTTCTCAAGATGGATAGATCTGATTTTTCTACTCTATAGCTTGGTATCAATTGGACCCTGAGTAATTAGGTCAGGGTCTATTTAGATTTTCTATGCTGTGTACGTTCTTATACCATGGTGTGATGGGGTGGATTAAGGCCCTCTGACCCCCTCCTGGAGGACTAGTGGTCCTGCCACACCCAGTCCCAGAAAAGGGCAGTAGGTAGGTCCTCCAAGTGCACTAGAGTGGTTGCAGGAGAAGCAGCAAATTCGGGGCCAGGAAGGTCATATAAAAGGAGTTGCAGAACAGAGAACCAGTTAGTTGCTGTGTACTTCACAAGAAATGAATCTGGGTGTTAGGCTTGGTAGAAGAGTATCAATTCCACAGACAGTTCAGTGTGGAGAGCTCATGGCAAATAAGGCAGAGCTGGCACAGGGCCATGAGGAAGTGGCCCGGGGAACTAGAAGAGCAGTGGAATGGACACACAAAACACAGCAGCTATCTACAGGGTCCCTAGGCTGGGGCCTGGATTAAAGAGTGAGCCTGGGTCCCCATTAGCCATTGAGGGCAAATGGCCTGGATCCTGAGGCATCCCAGGTGGTGTGTGCAGGGGGAATTGGATTATAGTGACTCAGCCAAAGAACTGGAACCAGAAGACCTCTGAGGTGCAAAGACATTGCCTCCAGGAAAGAAATTCTGGGAGCACTGCTCTATTCCAGAGTGGGAACAAACTGAGACAGTACAGAGGGCCCCGAAAGCCCTGTTGGATTTTTACCCTGGAAAGGGTTTGTTTTATTTTCCACACAGACTGTGTGATACTCGGCCAAAGGCTTGAGTCACTGAAGAGCCACCATACACTGAGAGTGTGTAAACACATGCTCTTGGCCAGGAGGCATTTGTGAGAGGTGAGTGCAACCCCATTACACATGCTCACCACTAAGATTTAGATTTTGGCACAGGGACTTTTTATGAAAATTCACAGGCAGGAGACCAACAATAAACAAAAAACAAAGCCCATCAGGTGGCTGGGTAGGGTGGGAGCTGGCTGCCCGAGCCCTGCCAGTTCTTAGAGGCTGCATCTACACAGCAAGGCTTAACTTGAAATAAATGTCACAAATTGAGCAATGTCAATTGTGTAGCTATTTCAAAATATCTTGTTTGAAAATTGGGAGCATCTGCACAGCACTGTTTTGAAACAGAGCACTCTTCCTCCGACTTCCCTTACTCCTCATACAATAAGGGCTACAGGGGTTTGAGCAAGAAGTCCTCCAGCTTGATGACAGTATTTCGACATTATTTCAAAATAACTGCCTGCTGTGTAGACGTGAACTAAGTTATTTCAAAATAATGATTATTCTGAAATAATGTTGCTGTGTAGATTTAGCCATAGGGGGTTGAAGTGGGAGTCACAGAGGTCTGTCTAAGTCATGGACTTAGTGACCTTCATAACCAAATCATATCTTTATTTATCACCATTGTACATGATCAGAGTCATCCTTTGAATTTACGAGGTCTTATGTAGTACTGCGTATTCTAAGTATGGGTAAGGCTGGCTCTCTATGTGAGTGCCTGGTTTTACCTCTGCTTTTCCTATGGATAGAAAGGAAATTGGCTACCTGGATATCAGCTCTGTAAATTGATCCTCCCAGTTCCAGTGGGAAAAGCTTTCCAGTAGCCTGCTTCCAGTATTTTTCACCCACAAGTAATTGTACACCCAAATTAAGTGTCTCATCTACCTGACTGCACTCCCAGATTACCTGAAATTTGAGCCCCATAACAGGTAGAACATGTTTTATTGAAATTTAATGCAAGGGTAGCCTGTTGATAGATTAACTTCAGGTCAGATTTTCTCATCTCTCAAGCAGCTCATAGTTTCAGCTAGTATCCTTTTCCACTCCTGTAGGAGGGTTACTTAAGTTAATATCTGATAAGGTCTTTACAGTTCATACACATTTATATTAGGAAGAAGAAAGTAGTGTCAGATACTACTCGTAGATTAGAGCTTGAGGCAACCAACCAACACTACTTTTTGGCAGCTTGTGGAGTGGGCATTAAACAGTTGGCATAGAAGTGTTAAACCATAAAACGTTTTTAATGCTATACATAAGGCCATACCTCACTCACTGCATCCAATGTGCAATTTGCAAGCAAAGTTCCAGTCTTGCAGTTCTCATACACAATGCTTCCGTTTAATTTTGTGTGCATAAAGACTGCTGGACAGGTAAATGGTGCTCTGCTCACCTGGTTTAACTTGAGAGGTTTGTATATTTCCATAATCATACAAACTGCTGGATCAAAAAACTGGATCACTGCAATACACTGCTTGTCATGCATGGAACTTTTGCCTGTTTTATTTTTTGCTTATTTGTTTTATTTGGCTAAAGCTGTCTTTTCATAGGAAAGAACTAGATCAGTTAAGTAGATTTGCATAGAAATGCATTTTGATGGAATGAGGAGGATGGAAGAGCCCCTATTGGGAGAACGGGTCGAGAAGAATAGACTCTGAAGTGCTCCATGGATAATGGCGTTTCTGAAACTGGGAATGGGCTGAGAATAACGAAGCCGCTTCACCTTTTATGCAAAAGCCCTATATAATACAATAGTAAATAACTTCACTATAGAATGTTTGTTAGGAATCAACGGAGGTTACATCCCAGTGAATGTGTGTTTTTAAGTCATATAGTGAAAGATCCTTGTTCTCCATTAAATTTTGCAAGTTTTTGAAGTAACGTTAGTGGAACAGTATTGGTTGAATTCCTAATAATTTCTATAGGCAGTTTCTATGGTTGTGATACTTTACTGTACACAGTTGGAATTGAATTCATTGTGCACTAAGAGGTGATTTGACTTTGTGGATTCATTTTTTTGTGTCAGTGTATTCTGTCTTGTGTTGTAGTGTTCTGTTCTCTTAGCTGGCAAAAAAGCAACTTCAAAAGGTTAAGGATGGAGTATCTGTACAGTACTTACTA